GTAGGGAATCTGCATGCTGAATTCTTCCATGGCTACTCAGTTTACAAAGAAATTTTGAGTAATGACACAACTAAGCAAGCCTAAGTCACTTAAAGATAATGTTAATGCTTCTGGTCTCTGTCATTTAGAGAAAAATTCACTATTCACACCAGACTGGGGGGATTAGAGTCCTGTGATAAATATCAACCCTCTAACACACACCCGGGGCAAGGACCAGCAGTGGCAGCCCTGGGCAAGTGGCATTGCAGATGCCCAGCTTTCTCACCCTAAGGGCTGTGCCAGCAGGGCTGGGAAAGAGCTGCAGGATGGTTCAAGGGAGATGCCCATTTCTCCACAGCCAAACCTCGCTCCCACTGGCCGTAGCACCTTGCTAGTGTCACATATTTGTCAATGCCAAGTATAAATAAGTGGTTGTTTTTAAACTCTTATCAACTAACTCTTTTTCAGTTTTGATTGCTGTTGGATTTCTTCTATTTTTGTCCCATCTGGCAAGCGTGGTTCATTGTTACTCCAATATCAGATACTGCGTCCCCTGAAGCATTCCAATGGTTTGGACCAGGACCCAGTCGGCTGCTTTATACTGATTTTACGATCCTGTTGAATAGCATCCTCCTCTGTTTTGCACATACTTTTATAATTTTGAATGTGTTTAAGTAAAAAATAAAACAAATTTTAACAAAGTGCTTAAATAATGCAACCACAAGCTGAAGCTGCACAGAAGGAGCAAAATTCTGACTTCAGAAGTCCAATAAAAATAATTGGACTCAGACTCCAGGCCAGTAATTTCTGAGTTTTAAGTATGTTTGAGACTCCAGCTTAAACTGATTTTTCTTCCCTAAAATTATATCCAGAAGGAAGAGTCCTGACGGCAGAAACTTCTGATTATGCTTGGTAATATCTCTCGTTCTCCTACCAGCTGCTCCTGTGAAAATGGAGTACTTCTTTGGCTCTGTGGAAATTGAAAACTATTGCAAAACTTATTCACTACTTTAATCCTGATAGCTGGTAGGAAATATATACATAAGCTTCATTTTCAGTCCCTCTGAAGACGCAGTATTTTAAAAAGGCCTTGCTGGAAAGATGTCACAAAGCTCCAGTTCCAGATTGCAGCTTTAGACTGAGATCTTCTGCAGCAAGCCAAGACACTTCCCCATTAGCTACTATTATGATAACCTACTAATAATTATTTTCATGTGGAAAACATGTTTATTTGTTGGGGTTTTTTTTTAATGTTACGTTCTACAAAGAAGATAGTTACTGGGATTAGTGATTCCATGAGGAAAATATGTAATGCTTACTGAGCCACAAAGCTTTCTCTCTCCAAAATAACTATTTATTTTTAATTTTATCCAATGAACTTCTATGGTGTCAGGCTTTTTGCATCAGATTTATTTCATCATAGTAACCTAAACCAGTTTATTATACATTAAGAAAACAGGGTACTTTGCAGGAGTAGCATTTTGAAGTCTGAAGTGTTTATGAATGGAGGGAGAAAAATAAGGATTAATTTTTTTTTAACCAGGTAATCAGGCAAGGGAGGCTGAGATTGGCTCAAGATTTAAGCTACATTTTTCTTTCAGAAATTACTTACTCGGGCTTACAAGCCAGACGGGCAGGTTTTCCCAGTAGCATTCTCAAACTAGGGTGAGGAATAGTAACTCTGGAGCCCAGCCAATTTCAATGTAAATCTGTTTTGTTCAGGAAAGCGAGCCAAATTGCTTTTATACAACATCTCAATGTTTCGGGTGACCTCCAATATTCTCGGATCCCATTCTGAGTGTCAAGAAAATCAAATGCATTTTTGGTTTTTTTAATTCTGAACGACAGGCACAGGCAGAGCAACAGGGGCAACCACTTGTCGTTAGATATGAAACGGACACTGAAATGCAGTTCGGTTCTTTAAGATTTGGCCAATATGTGGCTGGTGCCTCTGCTCTGATAGACAGGCAGCATCACACTCCCGAATGGAGAGAATCACTGTAACTCTCTCACAGTCAGTGCAGAGCTGCTTATTCACTGAGGTGAAAATGTGGACACCAGCTTTAGTTTTGAAGCAGCTGTCAGACTGTCTTGCTAGATTTCATTTAAAGTCTATGGAAGAAAATGTAAACTATTCATTAAGAATTTCAAGAATTACAATTTCCTACTCTCTTAGAACGGAGAGAGCAGGGGATTGCCATCAGTTCAGCAAGGATTTTAATGGGGACTGTTACACCTGGGCGATAACCGATGCACAGGGAACTGTCACCAGGCAAAGCCATTCATTATTCTCCGGCAGGAATTTTAAATCACCTGAGGTACACAAAGGGCGTCCACTCTGACCATGACCGACGTGAACTTTCAATCACTATTCACATAATACTCCTGGCATCACATTATCACTGGTGGCAACTGAACTTATTCAAACTCAAATATTACACAGCAAAGTTTCAGTTAATTTTCTTCTAGTGAAGTATCAAAGGAAGCAATGCCCTTTGAAGCAGCTACCTTATGCTTTAGGCTTTATACAAATTCAACAGAACAGCACGGCAGAAATCCCGTACCAAATGCAAACAATCCCCACCTTTGGAAAACAAACCCCTGTTTTAGGAGTAAACAAAAGCATACATTAGTCACTCACTCCAAAGATGGGCAGCCAACAGAGGTGACGGGAATTAACCTCGGAGCCTGACTAATAGCATGCAGCATTCCCAAATCACTCTATCGTTTAAAGGATCCTGAGCACCCGAATGCCATGCAACATACACGGTTTATGTCCATGCGTGAGTGACGGGCTACTAGCAACTGCTGACGGTAAGGGGCTCAGCGACGCTCTCCCCACTGAGCTTTTCTGGATGAATAGGGACTGTTCTCTCTCAGTCACTGGATTTTGACCTTGAAACTCACACAGTTCACTGTTATGATTTCTAGCTTCACTACCGTGGCCAGGAACTGAACTACAGGTTTGTTTTTATTAGCTTCTCTGCCACTTTGCCAGCTATTCATTTGAATCTTCTAAACAGTCATCTCTGAATCATAATGCAAATTCCATTTACTGAAAAGGTGGAACCTTTAATATAACAAATGAACATGTTTAATGACTGATACTTTTAGACATTACAGCATCTCTCATGTTTTCAGTAAATGGATATAATTTTCTCTGCATTACCCTATTATTATTCTTTGCTAGCATTACGAAGCTACGTTCTCAGCTGCGGGTGTTTTCCACCAAGTGCATTTTGAAGACAGCCCAAACAACATGATTTAAAAGACATCTCCTCTGTATCCTCAGCTAAAAATGCTGCAGGATACAGAGGGATCTGACATGTATTTTATTCTTAGAATTTATTTACTGCTTGCACCTATGTTTCAACAGGGCCATTCTCTTCCACAATTGCTGACTGTATTTATATTGGAAGAATATCTACAGATGCATTTCACTTCAAAGGCAAATAAAGGCTGTTGTGTATAATCAGGATAACTTCCTCGGTCTGATGCTTGACCCATCTCCCATTTGGGATAAAACATTTTGAGAGCAAGCGAGCAGAAACAGGTCACCTTTGTAACTCTCCTGAAGTACGCTCTTAACTCCGTTCAAATCTGTAAGAGCCACGCATGCAAGCACACATCAGGAGATGGCTCGGATGCTCATATGGGGAGAGAGGGGAAAATGGTGAGAAAGGGTCAGTAAGCCCTGAGTACTCAATCGGGTTCAGAGAGACACCATCATACGAATTGCTCAAAAAGGTAGTACACAGAAACCTACGTAAGTGCAGTAGACACTATTGTTTTGATTTGTAAACGTTACAGCACTGAACTGTCCCTACGTAACACTGCTGTGTTTGGAACACCATACTGTTACGTTCTGATTTTAGTTAAAGATACGAATGAAACAGAAGACAAATACATAAGTAAATATCATATGAAATCACATGGAAGATGTGACAGTTTTTTCATTCTTGACCTTAAAAGAGAGAGGCTGATCTTTTCTCTGAGCCCCGACCCACGCAAAGGGACTCCACTCACAGCAACAAGAGCAGTAATGCAAGAGGAGCACTTAAAATAATGTTGTAATAGAAAGGTAAACATGATTGCTTGGAATTTATGGGGTTTAAGATTATGGACCGGAGCCAAAGAGTGAAGTTGCAAAGGGTCCTTCTGTTGGTTTTACAGGCTTTTGGATCAAGCTTTGTACACCTGCCTGCTCACGTGCGATGTGAGCCGCACGTGTCAGATACTATTTACAGCTTCCTAACAACATTTTTATACAGTTATAGTCTAAGTCAGCTTCAACTCTTATTTGTTTTTCATGCTCATCAGGCCTTTTAATTTACATACTAGTAATTACTAGTTATCACAGACACACAGCAAGTCAGATATTAAGCACACCTGTTCTACTCTGGTCTACCTTAGCCACCTTGCAGGAGTATGTTAAATAAGAGAACTATTGCATATTGTTCTACATCTATTTCAGAGAAAGAAAGGTTAGAAAAAGTGCCCTGTTCCTTCATCAGGTTGTGTTGAACCCCGAAAATTTTTAGATCTATGCAGGAATTAATTGTAATTTTAGGTTGACTCACTCTGTTACAGAGACCAGCTTTTGCAGAGAGTGCCTGGGAGCCCCGAGATAGTAATGAGTCTTTACACAAGCTGAAAATTCTCATTTTAAATTGAAAATATGCTATTCAAACTTAAACACGGGTAATATTGTGTTGTTCTAAATCTGATGGGGCAGCTTCCAGAGTCCAAATGTGACTTGCTGTCTACATGATTTTTCTTTTTAAAATTAGATTTTACTGTTTAAAAATTGAACACGGAGGATGGGCTAGGATAAAAAAAGCAAAAACGTGTAGCTAATTCTGTGCCTTTGAAATCAGCCTACACCAGATCTTGCAGCATTCCCTACTGCAGAAAACTCGACAGATGCCGTCTTCAAATTCCCTCCATGTAACCAGAACTTGACATAACTGGTGAACATGACCCAACTGTAGTAGAGAACAAACACATACCTCTTCCACTTCTACCCACAAATCGGAGGTCGTTGAACCTTGCTACTTGGTTTTTCATGGCGGCTGTGGCGTTTCTGAGTTCTGCAGAGTAGTTTTCATCGTTTCCAGCCATCACTGTTACCAGCGTCCCATCAGGCACGTCTCCCAAGGCCACCACCTATGAAATCAAGGAGCAGAAGCCTCAACTTCCTTACGTGACATTTATTTTTGGGTGCACAACATCAACAAGTAACGTGATAAAACAAGGAAAAGCAGCAACAGAAAAAATCTATGATAGACTAAGCAGCTGTTTGGGGAAAACAGGAATTGTCTCCATACCTAGTGTGCAGAGCTACGGAAAAGTTTTTACATCGATGCATGTCTGAAACAAACAGCATAATCTGTACACCGACACAAAAAAATGTATGAAATAAGCCTTTCAAAATATATTTCTGCAATTGCCAATAAATAAATTCAAGCAACAGGAACTGATTCTGGCCTGATTTACATCAATAGCATTACTTTTAAGCTACAGTGAAATAAGCACAATGATGGAAATGTAAAAGTCAAGAGAAAACAAAACAAAGCCGATCGTCTCATGGATGCGGAGGGTCAGAGTCCTCACAGCTGTACCGGTTGCCTCTATTTTCTTCTCAGCGCTCTGAACAGAGCTGTCCCAGCATAAATTCAGAATAAGTCCATGGAGAAGCAGGCCTCAATCAAACGTTTAATCACAACTTACTGAACTTCTTTTTTTTCCTTTAGAAGCATGAAAGCAAATCATTGACTTAAGACCTCACCTGCAACCTGATGGATGGAAATCATGATCTGAGCTAATGAAATCTGCAATCGCTCAGACAGAGGCTTTCACCTTGTCCAAAATGTTTGCCCTGTAGCATCTATCAAACAAATATTTAGGAACCCAGAATTCACTGCATCTTTGAAGCAATGTGGTGAGAGATTTCAAACCTTAAATTTTCTAACTTCTATTATTTCCAACTTATATTTCTAACTTATATATAACAATGTTCACACTGGTTAAACTATGACTAATTTAATTTTATCTTATCTTCTTTAGCAGGACTGAATTCTCAAAACAATTCTACCCTGCTGTAATCAAATGGATCCCTGGTGTGTCTCTTGATTTACTTTGTCAAAAGTAAGAGCTTGAATTAGTTCCCCTGTCACACTTGGTTTAGATCCCATTGCTGTTCCCGCAATTGAGTCTACAGTAGCAACCTGAGGACTACTACCAACAAAAAAAGAAAAAAGATAAAAAAACATCTAGCTAGTTTTTATTTCCTCTTTTATACATTCTAAGAGGAAGTAGTCCTGCATCATGTCCTCTCAGTTGCAGCTCGATATTTTTCCTTCCTCTTAGCATTTTCTAGCTTATGTTCATGCAGTTATAATTGGCTGAAACTTGTCATGGTCTGGTCTTTTTTCTATTAATTTATAATAACACTTGTTCTTTTCAAGCAGGATCAGCGACTCCTTTACTTGGTCTCTCTGATGCTTATTCTCCAGCCATAGCTACCTCCCATAATACGAGAGAGGTCTCCAGTCTCAGGTATTTCACAGCTTTTCCTTCTATAGGAGGCTGCGTTTCTCACTTCAGTGCTCTCCCTTTTGTCACTGATAACCCTTATTTTCACTTCCACATGCAAAATTAAAATCACTGTGTCAAAATTCCCTCTTTACGTTATCTATTTCAACTTCCTCTTTCCCGTTCCTCTGCAGCCCAGGCTTTTGGTTTTTTGTTCTCCTCTGTGTGCCGTAATGCATTTCTGTGGCCTGTGCTATGCTCAGTGTTATGCTTTTCACATTTCCGTGATCTTGGCGTAAGTTAGTCCCTGCTTGAAACGTTTAAGCTAGAAAGTCTTCTTGCATAGTGTTATGTCAGGAGGCACACTGGCTCACAAGATCAGCAACTGTGAACCCAACGCACTCACCCAGTTCTTAAAAAGTTACCGTAAAACCTTAAGGGATGCACATATATTAAAGGCACAAGAAAGGGAAAGGGGAAAATCAGGGCATTACCCTCACCTCCCTGTGATACAAATGTTTACATGTTCGTTTAAGGCAATATATGCTAGCATTTTAAAGGATGAAAAACCTTTGTGAATCCAAGGTCAGTTGTCTCTTACCAGGCAAATATTTTAAATCATCATTTCCAAATTACACTGAAGGCAACCTCAGCGACAAGACACGTGAAGAAAATACTAGAAATTAGTGTAAAAATTACACAGGCCAGAAAAGAAAATAGAGTCACAGACATTAGAAACAGAAATACAAACATTTACATTAGAAAAAAGACTAAACAGATAAGTTGGGACTTGCTGACTGGAGTTATCTAGTAGTGTGTTGTACTCTTTGGCTCTTAAAAATATGTATTTCCAGAGAAGCAAGGAGACTATCAGAGTTGCAGCGCTGCCCGGTATCTGAATTACCTCCTTACTTCTGCTGCATAAATCAAACAACTGGCCTTTTAAATTCAGATATAGATTCTTCCTTAGTAGCATTTTGACAATGAATCTATATGGCACCTTATTAGAGTTATTATGTATTATTTTCTAAGTTTCTCAGAATCATTCTGTATTTTAGAAAAAAATTATGCATGGCAATGATAATTTTGGTTTGAAACATCCCAATCATAAAGATCAAATATAATGAGGAAATTTTTATAAGGGAATGTGGAGAGTAAACTCTCTTTTTATTGATGCAATGGTTGTTAACAAACACTTACAATACTCATTGCTTTTTTTTTTTTTTGTCAGATGCAAATAAGGTATTGGCAGCATAGGAATGATCTGAACTGAATTTTCTAGTTCCTGTTCCAAATGATCTTAAAAATTACGACTTTTAAAGATACCTTTGGAAATATTCAATATTTAGTATAAAACCAATGGGTTTGTTTTATATGTGGTGAACTATTTCAGGACTCATTTCTCAGCAGTCTACGGGGGGAGAGGGTTTTTTTGGGGAGGAGGGGGGGACGAGGAGC